ATAAAAAACAAAGTTTGTATTATATGTGATGTGATGTCTGTCTCACTCAAGACTATCATTGCATTTCATTGAACACAATTCAATTGCTCCCATATTATCACAACAAACAATTTGCATCATGTTATAATCAGTTTTATGTAATCGAGCACAAATTGACAAAATTGACCAAGCTTATTTAGCTATTTTAGCTTTTATATTCTGAATATTCTGTGTATGCATTAAAACGCTGAATAATGTTTAGGTTTACCTTAAGTGAAAATCACAGTCAAGACATTATTCCGATACTCATTCCCATATAAATCAAAGGTATTTATAATTCTTACTTTTTAAATTTTTATGATTTATAATATTTTATAAATATATAAATAATTAACATGATATTTTTGCAAATTATGTTTATTTTTGAATTATAATTAAAAATATTTGCAAAGAAAATGCACATCATATTAATCATGTTTTTTGATTGAGTATTGTATTATCATGATACTTTGGCATGTAGCATTCATAATTATCTACTTTATATGCAAAACAGATAATTTAAGTTAACATAAAATTAGTGTGAATTCAATAATTCTAATCTTAAATTCAGTTTTTAGGGGAAATTATATAATAATAACAAAAAATTATTTATTGATAACTAATTTAACAGTAATTATATTAATATTTAACAAAATTTCTTAATACATGTATTAGACGTAAAATACTTGTAAAATGAAAATAAAATTTTAAAGAAAAATCATTAAAACCAAACACAGAATATGAAATTTTAAGAATAATTTTGCCATAACTTAAAATTTATAAATATTTGTCAAATTTTGCAATAAATTATAAATAAAGTGTAAATAAACTTCACTTTATTTAAACTGTATATAAACTGTTACTTAAAATATGACTTATAATTAGCGTTGCCACAACTATTTTTGGAATTCTTGCATTATTTTGAAAAATTTTACAAAAATTCATGGATTTTATAGAATATCTTATTTTTTGATCAATTACTTTACTTAACTTTAAATTACTTAATAAATATTTTTAAATAAATATTTTAAACTCCATATTTTTAATAATAACAATTTAAAAGTGTATCTATTAGAACACCGTTTAAAAGTTTTTCCAATAGTTTTAAACCACTATATTGTTAGACAATCTATGCCTTATTGCAAACACATTAAGAGTTGTTGCATAGAATTTGTTGCAAATAATAATAGTTTCTAATTAACTAATTCACACAAAATATAATTATTGGGTTTTTCAATATCCAGAATGACTTTTTTTTAAATAATCTACTGTATTATATTGAAATAGGAATCATCTAGGTCATTCCTAGACTGGCAAAATAACTTCAAATTGAAGAGAATTATTACAAAAATTAATAAAAATATTTATTCAATTATTAATAAAATATAAATTATATTTTTAAATTAAAATTTATAGTACAGAATTATTTCATTATATCTTTATGCATAATTAAAAAGTTATTATACGAATCGCTATTTTAATCAATAGTTGTTTAGAATATTGCCATATATGATATAAATTGCATAATAAATAACCAGGCGATTCAGGGCCAGAAATTTAATTTTTTTACATTGACTAACATCAAAAATATGCAAACCATTAGCCTTCAACCACCTACTTATTTATTATACAGAGTGTACAGTGTGTGAAATAATCATGGTAGTTGTGGGGGCCGGGGGTTTACATATTTGCAATGCTAGTCAATGTAAAATACGTAAACCCCAGCGCCCATCATATTAATCCTGATTTGTCACACACTGTATTAATAAACATAATGTTATTTTCCGCAAGAATATTAATCTTCAACTAACGTTATATTTTGTTACATATTCTAGAAATCAGACGAATGACTAGAATTTGGGCATAAAATATGAATAACTGCTTAAAGCTATTAATTTTATTGATGTTCTCGTGTTTTATCACAACGTTTGCAGCCATCAAAANCAAGAATATTAATCTTCAACTAACGTTATATTTTGTTACATATTCTAGAAATCAGACGAATGACTAGAATTTGGGCATAAAATATGAATAACTGCTTAAAGCTATTAATTTTATTGATGTTCTCGTGTTTTATCACAACGTTTGCAGCCATCAAAAGACGTGTGTATTAACTAAATATGTAAAGTAAATGATAAGTCTAACGATTAATTGGTACGACAGCCCCCGCGTCGTCCATCAGTTGTTACACTTGTAGTTCGCGTAATAAGTCTGAGCCGTATTGTGCGGACCCTTTCCATCCAGCGATGTCTAAATACATCGAGAACTGTAAGGTTCCCAAACAGCTGCACATCGGGGTATTTCCCGCACGATTCTGTGTTAAAGTGATCGGCAAAACAGGTTAGCGACAATCCATTTGAATTCATTATGCGCTTAACTAACAATCGCATCGCTAAACATAATCTGTAATTTAAAGCTCTATTAGAGCCACTTTCGTGGCAAACAATTTGAATGTGATTTTTACAATAGCTCTCAACTTTCAATGTATTTCTTTTACATTTCTTGTAATATAAAGTACACTATTGTTTGACATTTAAAAGTTTGTTTCCCTAAATAGACTTCTCGCTTATGATTTACACACAAAATATTGATTTTCACTTATTTTATCAAAACATTAAAATTAATAATTCATATAAATCTTAGTTAACGATTAAATAATTATTTTTGGAAGATTATTAATGACTTAAAAACCTTATAATAGGCGTAAAACAACATAACAGAAAACACTAGAAAATCATTAGAGAAAATATAATATTTTTATTGAATGAATAATTATGAAGAATGAGAACAGAATATATGTAGAGAATGTGTACATTATATTGATATACATTGTGTAGTGCTGTGTATTGATTGTGTATATTTGGTGGACATGTAGTGACAACAGGAGAGGAGCTGGTGATTAGGGCCTGTTCTCTAGAGAATATGGACAACCAATGTGGTAGTTTTAAGTTTGAAAAGGATACACTCCAGGTAAGAATACTATTGAATGCTTACGAATCACTACAGTATTCCCAATCATCTGTCAATCATTTTATTCAAATAGGGATGCATTTTGACGTGTGATTACGACGGATGTAATGGTTCTACAAAATTAGTTAATTTAAATATTAATCGCTTTTATTTACTTATGTTTTTAATAATAATAATAAGTTGTTAGCAATTCATTACATTCATTGACAACAAAATAATACATATTTTAAGAGTACTTTCGATTGAATATTCAAACAGCTATTGAATTGTTTTTAAAATTTTAAATTAAAAAATAATTTTAAACAAAAAACAATTGGTTTGAAAAGCGGTTTATATAAACTCATAATTTATATATAAATTATAATAATATATATAATGTTCTAAAATAAAAAAATGTTCTAAAAATTGGTGTAAAGAGTAGGCCTTCCAGTGTAGATGAAGTCAGTCCTCGTCCATTGGTTCCGATTGGTCCGAATGGCTCACAGTTTCGTCCATTTTATTCAAATCAGCGCTTAATTCTGTATTCTTATCGCTTAAGTCCGTTATATCTGTACTGTTATTATCTGCGTTACCATTAGAGCCACAGAAGTCCATGGGTTGACTCGCGTCGTCCTCAGGAGTGGTTCTCATTTCGCTATTATTATCTGTACTTTCAATGACTGTCTTATTATTAGGTGAATCGGTCATTAACTCGGGTACTAATGATTCGTTTTGTTCATTCAAACCCATATCACAAGCGATTGTCTCCACCGGAGTGCTAGTGGTGTCTGTTTTAATGATTTCGGTCTTTTCAAAACTGGTGACAATTGTCTTGTCTTCAGGACTACCGTCACTCGAAGTGACGGCTTTCGCGTCCGTCACAACAGTTTCATCAATTTTATCGGTAATTACATTATTATTGGGCTCTATATTCTCGGCATAAGACGTTTGGGGCAACTCTTCATCGATTTTAGAGCTACTGATGGTTTCATTTGATTTCAAATGTTTTGTTTCATTGATTTCATGATTTGAATTATTGTCGACGAAATCAGTTTTAATTTCTGGCGTAATGTCTGTCGAAGTATTTCCCAGCGATGAACTACTGGTAGAGCTTATAAGCAATGAATCCAACTCTGGATTAACTGTGGTCTCAAAGTCAGTCGACGTTTCAATTGGCTTAATAGTGGTAGTGGTAGTAGTCGTTGATAATAAACAGTTGTCCTCAGAAGTCAATGATGTGATGAGTGGTGAACTGTTTGGTGAGTCGGATAAGGGGTAGACAACAGACAATGGGTTGGTTGATGGCGAGGACGCGAATACAGCGGTGAAACTATCCAATTGTTGCAGTGGTGTAGTGGTGTGGTTTGGATTCGGTGGCGAACCCGTTGTCGGCGAGAGCGGTAGTGAAGTGGGAGAGATCGGACCCGACAGCGCCTTAAGTGACGATTCACTGGACATTTGATTGTCACACAAGACGTCTGCCATTCCGTTCACTAACAATGAAGAGGAGGCAGAGCTCAGAGAAGCGGTCGATTGAAACGAATTGGAAGAATGCATGAATAGGTTCTTAAAGCTTGACGTCGCGTAAGAAGTGCTGGACCTGTGGTTAAGACATATAAATTATATTATATGATATAATAATCATTACAATGACAGTGAAAGACAATGAAGAGTATGTGTTGTGTAAATGACAAACCCATTAGCAGATAGCGGTTCAATTGTAGAGACGACTAAAATGTTTTTCTCGATGCCTCGCATGAACTTATCGGTCCTCTTATAGTGTTTCGATGGACTGGTTATCAGTTCACAGATCCTCTGTATAGTGAACGGCGCCGAACCGAAGCCGTCGATCGATTCCAAGATCTGTGACTTGAGTTCCTCGAAGTCGAAAGGCTTTACATTCGGTAATGGAATCAATTGGTCGGTCGGACACAAGCGGTTGAATTCATTCATAACGACTTCGAGTTTGCGTTTCAACAATGGCTGCAATTTAGTCCACGAAAACCTAACAAACAATTCATTTGAATTAAACAATGGCTGCGAATGTCATGCAATGTCTTCACGTGTCATACAGTGGATCACCATTTTGTGCGATACTTTCCAAATACTGGTTCAATAGGTCGGGAATGTCTGCGCTCTTCTTCGCCTCGAAGTCTACATTGAGATCAATTGACAACAAATACAACAATTAGTCAAACAAATGGCCAAAAAGTGGTAAACAATAGGCAATGGATTACTGGATAACTCGTCGAGAATGAGTTCGCGATTCAAATCAATACTTTTCGTCATTTCCCAAACAAATCACACAATTATTTCGATTCAGATTTCAATTCAAAAAACAAATAAACTTTTAATTTGTTTCAAAATTATATGAATTTTCTAAATATTTGATATGAAATTCAAACTCAAATTTCAATTCATTGACAAAATCAGTGCCAAAACGAGTTTTTTGTTGCAAAATATACACAACAAATACAATGCATTCAATACTTTGTATCGCATTTACAATCACTTCAATTCACACACAATTCGCTACACTTTTAGATATCAATGAAATTGTAATTTTAAATATTGTAAATATAATTAAAATTACTTTCAATTAATTAAACATTAATTCATAAATACATAAAACGACTCAATAAATGGGTTAAACTGTTGTTAACTAACAATAAATAACTATAAAAAGGGTTTACAATAAAAAACGTCGTTTTAATCAAAACTAAAGTTTTTTGGAATTGTTTTTGGAATCAAAAGTAAATATTGATTAGAGTTTGGGTTTTGGGTTCACTTTGAGTGACATTTAGTGATCAATTGATTCATTCATTCATTGTTTTAATGTTTTTAATTATTATTTCGAGTAATTCCTATGAAAACACATGTTATGTGAAAATGTGTACATTTTGTGGGATTTGTTGTCAAGCGTTATGTTGTGATCGTTTGGATCCGTATTTGCATTGATAGCAAACTATTGTTACTTTCATTACATTATAATTGAAGTGATTTAACGACAATCTGAAGAAATGCACGATTTATACGAATGTTCAGCACTTCTTCGGATGCCATCGAAGGTAACGATCACACAATGCATTAGCGGTGAAGACGTGAATGGTTTCACTTTAGTCTTGTATTGCAATAATTATCACTTACTTTACTATCATTTAAATAAATGCCAATCAATTAAAGACAATAATAAACCGATTGTCAGACAAATACCGATCGACAAAAGGAGAGGAGAGTTGTGTTCAATGTGTTTGAGTCCCACTGCGAGTGAATTAATGATAATTGTGTCCAACAGTACTGTTTATGTGATACCAATTGAGTCACTCATTAGTCGCCAAAACGATCACATCTTAAGAGACGACGCGATTGTCATCAACACCTGTTCGCTGTCTAACCCGACGGCCATTGTTTGGTGGCCTTCTTTGGATCACTTCAACCAAACGGCAATTATAGGCAATGATTTCGGAGACATTTGTTTTGTTGATATCAAAAGCAAACGACAGATCGGAAGCACTTCCGTTCACGACTCCATTAAAGAGCTCAATATAATTGATGATAAAAGTAGTGTTAGTTTAATAATTATGTGTAAAAACGAGACTCAATATAGGCTTGTGTTAGAAGAGACCAGAAATAGAAGTTTACCGAAGAATAAACTGGACTCTCAATTGCCGGCTCACGACAGCCATTACTTCAATTGCTTTATAACAGCGCCCGAAGACAGGGAACCGATCGGTCCAAACAATTGCTGGAACTTTAAGCCCATTTCGATGAATGCGTTGAAAGAAAGCAATATCACTGAAAATGAGGAGATACTGACAACTACTCTCGTCTATCAAAACCCTTTGATTTTTTGCTTATTTGAAACGATGTCCGAAACGAAGGAGAAATTCGGCGAAATAATTGTTAAACTCTTCACTAATAAAGAATTTGAATACAATTTATCGACATTTAGTGCCAAATATTTAATGCCAAAGCAATCATCTCTTCCGATAAACGGTATTTGTCTGACGGATAAGTTGTTTTTCATGTGGTCTTCAGATGATTGTGTTTTAATGTCTCGTGAGTTTTCTGACTCCAGAAGGTTAGCGAAACTCAATCCATTGGTTCAGAAATTTGCGTTCAAAGAGTCGGAACGAGTGATTAATTGCTTTAAATTCATTCATAAAATGAGTGAAAAGAGTGACGAAGTTCTGGACTCGTTTGCAATCGTTACCACTGATTGTCTCTATGTTTGCCGTCAGAAACAAAGTTTGCATCAATTGTTTCACTCGATTGTCACATCAAAACAATCGATTGGTTTGAGAGAAATTTCAATTGTAGTGAAAGCGCAAAGATTTGGTTCAATGTTTGGCTTAAATTTAAATACTCTGTACGAGAAGAGCGCTCAACAGTGTCTTCAAAGACGAGAGTTTTCGCCGGCGATTCGTTTCTATCAATTGGCAAAAACTCCTCAAACGACAAGAATTGCACAAATGATGTCAAACGGGTTTATCAGTGAAACTATCGCTTACATTCAAAACTTGTTTTCAACTAAAATATATGAATTGGAAGATTCAGAACGAATGCAATTCGCAAACATTGCCATCAAATGTCTGATCCAACAGTTACTTCAGAAACAATCGACGGCTAGAGAACCAATAGATATGACAAAATTGAAGACTTTTCTGAAGGAATGTCTGTATTTCGATGAGAGTATAGTGTTATGTCTTCTGGTAGAAGAGGGTCTCTTCCATTTGGCCCAATATTGTGCACAATTGAGAGCACAAAACGGTCTTTTGATACAGTATTTACTCAATTCATCGCATTTGCGATCGAAAGCACTCAACGATAATACTTACGAAATAGTAATGCAATCCATTTATAGAGATATATTTGACGAAACAAACGAATGGACACATTATTTGAATTGTTTCACTTCACCGCAAATCACGTATTCATTGATTCTACGCAAAGAACTCATCTCAAAGTACATGACATTTATGATTAAACTGTTGCCAACTCTGGAAATGCCATTTCTGACGCGTCTGGCCGTTGTGTTTGATCCGAGACGCTCTTCAACGCAGCTTCTCTTGAATCGAGTGTTAACTCAATTAAAGCAAACGTATTTGAATTACGAATCCGAAGACTCGGATCAGCAAATAATCGAGAAGAAAGATGTGCTCAACTTTTTTATATTCGTTGTCCTAATGATAATCAGACAAAACCGTTCAATAAGTACTTTTGAAGACAAATTTGTTTCAATCGATCCATTCATCAAACAAATAGAGAATACAAACAAAAAACCACTTCTTATAAAAAAGGTTGGATTGAGTTTTATAACTGCCGGAGTCTCTCATTCGGCAGTTATAAGAAACGGTTGTCTGTATTTATGGGGAAAATCACAGTTTGGTTGTTGTGGTCTCTTTGCGGACGATTTTACGAATATTCCGAAACTGATTCCAAACCCAAAGCGTTTGGATCTGTTTAAAGATGTTCTCTCTATTTCTGTCAAATCTGTTTCATGCGGTGCTCAGCACTCACTAGTCTTAACTGATTTTGGTGTCTATGCTTTCGGGTCATCACGTTTTGGCCAATTAGGGCTCGGAAGTGATGTCGTTATGTCGAGAAATCCCATTATTATTAGCGAATTGGTTGATAAAGATATAGTTTGCGTTGATTGCGGACAATACCATTCACTCGCTATTTCTAATAGTGGTGTGTTGTGGACGTGGGGTTGGAATGTGTTCGGACAACTCGGACACAGACATATCGATGACATCCATACACCACAAGTCGTACAGTATTTTAAACAAATGAAAATAATACAAGCGTTTGCTGGCTTTGGACATACTATCGGTGATAACATTTTTAGGAATATTACGGTATATTTATTGTTATAACACTTTTTTCTAAATGATAACAATAGCTCTCGATTGCGATGGCATTGTATACTCTTTTGGAAACGGAACGTACGGACAGTTAGGTCTCGGAAACTGTGATAAATATAATTTCCCTCAAAAAGTTAGTTTATTTAGTGAACCCATCGGTCAAATCGTTACAAAGTATTTTCACTCACTTGCGTTAAGTCGTGACAATCAAACGCTTTACATTTGGGGAATAAGTCCACAAATTCTTCGCATTGAATCCAATTGTGCCAAAAAGAATCGCAAAAATTCGCCAACAATTCACATGTCGGCAAAAAATTGCCAAAATTTTAGTTATTTAAAGCCAATGGCTATTAATATATCCACACTTAGGGCCAAAATAATGAAAATATGTACCGGAAGTTTGCATTCATTAATATTGACATCCGATGGAAATGTTTATTCGTTTGGGAGGGGATCTGATGGACAGTTGGGTCACCCGAGCGTTAAAGAGCTTAAACTTCCCGCAAAGATCGCAGCTATGAATGAATATAATGTGATAGATATCGCCGCCGGTAGTGACTACTCGTTAGCAATGGATATATCGGGTAATATTTGGGGATTCGGTAATAACACAGACTCACAAATTGGCCCAAAAAAGTGTTCACAAAATGTAAACCCTTTGGAAGAAATCTCTAAAAAGATTTCATTGAAAACCAATCGAAAAGTGCTTTCATTTATATCCGGAACCAAATGTACGGAAGAGTTGCCGATTCGGATCCAATTGCCCAAAGATGTTGACAGTTATTGCGATAGTCTTAACTATAGTCTCGATATCCATGCAATGAAAACGTCGACAACATTTACAATAATCGACGACAATATAAACGCGTTGTTTGACGAGAACTCAGTGTCATTTGACCGACAAATTCTTGCCTCTCTTTTAGCATTTTATCGAAAAGATTTAGATTTAAATTCAGTTCTCAATCGATTCAAGAATTTTAAATGCAATCAATTGAGTGCTTTTGTTTGCGAACTTCAAAATGATTTTCCAAACGCATTAGACTTTCAATTACAAGCCTTAGAGTTATCTTTTGCTACAGAATCGCAACAATTTTCCCAATTTTATACACAAATATTCAATATATTTATTGTTAAATCTATGGATAATATCGAGAAAATTAGCAAAATTTTTGACATATTTGTGAAATTCTGGTTAAAACACGAAATTAGTTTTGATTTACTGGAAATACTTATGAAACAAAGCTATAAAACTCATATCAAAGACTCAATGTTTGGCATTTCATTTTTCAATTATTTGAAACGAAATCCGAATAATGCGAACAAATTTAAGTCTAGTTTTTTGTTAGAAATGGTTGACTACACCATCAAAAGCGTTGCTAAAAGACCAGAGAAATTATTTTCATATCAAACAGATATTGAAAGAATTACGGCTGATATCGAAAACATATCATTTCCCGCAGAAAAGTTATGGCAAAATATTTTGACTCATTTTCAGACAAATAAAGACTCAAACATTAATACCGGCGTCCAGTTTGATGCCATCGACGATGAGATCATTATTTTTAATTGCAATCATTTTTACGGATTCAATGAATTTAAGGAAACAATTGTTACAAATTTTGAGAGAGATGTCGAAGAATTAGAAGATAAACAGACAAATAGCAAAGACATCGAAGAAATGGTTAAATTCTATAGGGATTGGGATAAAGAGTTGTGGGACTGTATGTGTCCCGAGTGTTTCATCACTCATATCAAAACTATTCATTAAATTATAGTTATTTACATATTTAACTAATCTATTCATATAATATTGACAATGATTTACATTTTGTTATGCTTTACATATATTTACGATAAAGTTGTTTAAAAATATAATTTATTAACAATTAAAATATATTTTAATAAATATTGAAATTATTCTAAATAACTTACATTACTCATTTATTATTGTAACTTTTATGCTCTAAAGTTTTTCGGTCGGGGAGAGAGAGAGAGAGAGAGGATATCCAGTAATTATTTAGCGGTAGTTTTCTCGGCTATATTTAGGCATAATTTTGGTTTGAGATAATTTTTATCTAGTTAATAGTCCATTGACTATCATAACACACCTACTCTTAATAGCACAGGCAGTGCACACAAACTCATACACACGCCAGGGGTTAGGAGGGTATACATCGGGCGTTACGGTAGACGACCCCCGAAATCGATTACGCTTTTTATAAAGATAAAAATACATGTTGGTATATTTTCAGTCTCTCTTCGTTAGCATTAGTTTGAATTTCTGGACACAAAAAACAAAACAAAAAACACAATTAAACAGTCATTAACACCACAAACAAAAGGAGCTGGTGGTCAAGGGGT